CCCCCCTCCCCCTTTGTTTCAGAAGTTCACCCAACCGGACTTACTACTCTCACAACTCGTACTGTCAAGCATAAAAATTTTCCTTATGGAGATCATGGTTCGCTGTACGGGATGAGTCAATAAAGCCTTCCAAGTGGCTCCAAGGCTTCAAGATCTCATTGCCTGATTAATCTATCGATACTGCAGTGTCTCCGGTCTAGATTGCTTTTTTCTGGTTTGGGGGGGTCCGAAACCAGGCACAGTTGAACCGTGATTGGTTGTCCTTCGGCCGGAATTTAAGACGCCGGGGGAAAATCCATATTGAGACAGCCCAGCATCCGCCAGTCATGGATTCCATGAGTCCCGTCACACATGATGATGATGGGATGGATGAGAGTTGGAGTTCCACAGTGCTCACTATGACATTGCTTCTCTTGTTGCCATCAAGACCAACATCGATCGATTAATTTACAAGGTAGCTAATTCCTAAGCACCATGCACCAACAGGAGAATCCAACAGGGGAAAAGAGGTCACGGTAAGAGCTGCAGACATGAGACACAACAAGACCCCCTCAAACCCCGTTGTTCGTCTGTCCGTCTGAACGACAGCCGTTGGAATGCTGGAGGGCCGCCCGCCCGGAGGCACCACTAAGCAAATTCAATTGTCTGTCTCTGAGTCTCTGCCCTAAGCACCCACCATTGGAAAGTCTGCGCTAGGGTACTGCCTAGTTTCGAAGTACCAGTCCGCACCCGGTCAGTCACCGGAGGACCGTGGTGAGTCGGGGCAGAAAGAGAAAATATATGACGAGAGAGCGAGAGGAGGGAAAAGAAAAAAAAAAAAAAAAAAAAAGAGGAACGGAAAGGTAGCAGAGACCACGAGAAGTAATAAGGTATGTAACACCGATCAGCTGGGCTTAGTTTAGTGGGAGGAGCAAACGCGGTTCTTCATCTCCAGCGGAGACAAAGACTCTCTCTCCCGTCCAATCAGCGCCAAACTCGGCCGTACTCCGCAGAAGCTTAGGCTTTAGCAGCACGAGGTTAATAAAGACATTCGAACAACTAAACTAAGGAAAGGAAAGGAAAAGAAAGGACTCCGACTCTCCACGCAATGGGAGCTCCTAATAAAATCTCTGCTATTCGGGCTATAGGCAGATAGTCGGTCGAGTCTTGCTGAAGTATCGTTCTTTTCCTGGCGCAAACACCTAACCTCAGGGCTCCCTACCTCCCTACCTGCCTACCTACCTATACGTTTCTTTTCTTCACGACGCACTGTGGGGGAGGAAGAGGATCTACCGATCAGCTTCAACAAAGCCCTAATCCCAACAGACAGGCCAGCTGTACGCACGATCAGGAGAGTCATCATCTCCATCATGAACCGACTCCGGAACCGGTCGATCTACGACCTCCTGGGCGTCGACCTCCTGGGCGTCGACCCCGCGCTCGACCACAAGCACGTCTACGAGACATCGTGGCTGCTTCCCCCGCTGGCGCTGGCCTGCCTGCGCGGCCTGATCGCCCTCTACATCTTCACCACCATCTTCACCATCTGGGGCTGGTACGGCACGCACGGCGAGCGCTACGCGATCGGCGAGAGCTTCAGCTACTTCACCTGGCTGACCTACTGGGGCATCGGCTTCTACATGCTCACCGCCGCCATCCACACCACCTGCTACGCCTTGACGGGCCGCTCGGTGCTCTTCGACCGCGGGCCGCGCGCCCTGCGCGCCCTCCACGGGCTCTTCTACACCACCGTCACCACCTACCCTTTCCTCGTCACCGTCGTCTTCTGGGGGATCCTCTACTCCCCGCCGTGGTATACCACCGTCGAGCCTGCTTGGCAGAACGTAAGTTGATCCCCAAGACCTTATATAAAACAGAGTTTCGTTCTTCTTTGTTCCCAACCTGAACCCGAGAAAACGAACACGAGTGCATTGTTCTCGCCAAAAAAAAAACTGACCCAATGATGTCGTGAAGATCTCCCAACACGGCCTCAACTCCCTCTATGCCCTGCTGGAGATCCTCCTCGCCACCACTAACCCCCACCCGTTCCTCAGCTTGGCCGTCCTCATCTTCATCCTCCTGCTCTACGTCTCGTTGGCCTACCTCACCTATCACACCGAGGGCTTCTACACCTACAGTTTCCTCGACCCCGGCGCCCATGGCCAGCACAGCGGCAAGGTCACCGGCTACTGCTTTGCCATTCTCGCGGCGATCCTGGTGTTCTTTTTCCTGTCGTGGGGCGCCATCTGGTTGCGGCGCCGGTTGACGCATGGGAAGGTAAAGCGGTCGGTGCGCGATTCGGGGAAGGTGATGGAGGATGAGCAGCCGGAGGTGGCCGAGGTTTCTACTTTGCAGGTTTGAAACAGATCACAGCTGGGGTGAGATAGCTATGGGAAGGGGGCAAATGTAGGGGGGATCATAACGTAATGTTTGAAAGAAAGGGGAGCGATTGGTTTTCTATGATCAGAAAACTATGGATTCTGTGGTTTTGGGTTATATTCATAGCTTCATTATAATGCATGAGATGAGATGAGATGAGAATGGTATTAGATCCAAAGAAAAAGGTCCGTAGCGATAGCCAAGGTGAGGACGGGTGTGGGGGGAAAGGGATACTCCAACTTATTAGTTTGGCGAGATTCGCGGGATGTCGGCAGTATATCAAAGCCGCTCCCAGCTGCTCGTCTCACTGCTACTCCCCGTGCTGGTTGAACTTTCCCGTGGCGACGATGAGAAAGTCGTCTGCTGCGGTTGAATGTGGTGATGGAGCTGCTGCTGTTGCTGCTGCTGCGACGACGACCGCAATCCCAACATCCAACCCACCAATCCTGCGGGTACCCATTCCCCGATTATGCTGTACGTCCTTGCGCCCCGTCCGACATACATGACGGCCTTCTTGCTGCCGCGCCGCCCGAACAGATTCTTGGCCGGCGCCTCCAACGCATCCTGCACAGCGTAATGCAGGGTGCGTGCAGAAGATCCTCGGATGAGACTCGGGCCTGCCGACGCGGCGGGCCGCGCCTCAATGCTATTCAAGTACTGCGATGCATACAGCGAGCGCTGCTGGACACTCCAGCCCAGCACCTCCGTGCCGGCGATGTGGCCCTGCGGGGTCCGGTACGATGGTCCGAGGTCGATGTTGCCGAGCTTCAGCTCGACAACGTGGAGGTTCGAATTGGATGTCAACTCGCGGCGGAGGGAGGTGGCGAATCCGGACAGCGCGCGGGTGGTCGCGACTTCCGGCCCGCTGAAGGGCGCGGAGAGGGACGAGGAAATTGTGGGGTAGGCGACGATGATGGTGCTGTGATTGTTGCGGACATGGAGGAGGGGAAGGAATAGTTGGGTGGTGAGGATAGGGGAGAGAAGGCGCGTGTTAATTGTGTCGATCCAAGTTGACGGCGGGATTGTCGCGACGGGGCCGCTGGTGTAGTTGGGCGAGGGGACTAGGATGAGCCCGCTCAGCTGGCAGGTGTGAGGCTGGAGACCGGCGATGGGAGATTGTGGTTGGGTGATGAGGGCGTGGATTTCGCTGAGGGAGGGGTGGATTCCAGACGGGTTGGGAGATGTCTGTGGCCGTGATGGTTGCGTTAGTCAAGGGTGTTTGGAGACGGAAGTGGAAGTAGTGTTTCGCTCTTACGGTGGAGAGGTCAAGCCAGAGGGACCGGATGTCTTCGCGACTTTCACTTCGGATAATCTGTTCTTCGTCGCTGGACGAGACTGTAACATAGACAATGTATCCCCGACGCTCAAGATCAGATGCGATCGCTCGAGTCATCGGTTCGTGCGCCGATCCCGCGATAACTATTGCGATAAGTTAGATGTTTGCGCAGCTTGTCATTCAGGTTCTGGTCCTATGCGTACCCACGATCTCCTTGCGGGCGCCATTCCCGGCCCTCCTTGCTCGCCGCCGTTTCCCATTAAACTTTTTGTTACCATAATACAGGACGCAGGTGGTTCCAACGAAGGCGAGGATCGCCGCGCTCCATGCTCGGTTATGCAAAACCCAACCATGCACGCGATCAACCAAAGACTGTGATATGACCGGGTTTGGTCGGTACTTGGGTGAAGGGCGGACCGTAGAAGGCAGCCATCTCTGATTGGACAGGGTATCACGTATTGCGTTTGCGGCGTGGTCGACTTGACGATCGATAGAATCGGCGACCTGATGAGAATATCGCCTTACGTCATGCGGTATCGATGCCAGCTGCGACAAGCAAGAAAAAAAATCGGGTCAGTGCGCGGTAAATGTGCAGGCTGGAAGAGTAGAGCTCACATAGTCGAAAAAGAACTGGTCGTCACTGGTCATGGTGATGATGGTTTGCTGCACTCAAACGGGGCAGCCGTTGGATGGAGATGGGGGTGGGTGGTGGATAAAAAGATCGAGGAATAAACTGGATCCTCCAACTTATCGGCGGGCCGGTCACATGAGCGTCTTCGCCCTATGGATGGACCATCCCCGATCATTCCTGAGTATGTATTGGCGTGTTGATGTGTCACTACCTTCGATACTTTGGTTTCATATTGAACTGATTCATTTTCAGTCTGCATGACACACTCATACCGCAAGGATAGCGTTTTCGAAAGCCAGAAGTATATGTATATATTTGCAACTATACTCCAACCACAAACACGACGATTGTGCACCCCACTTCAGACGGTTCTATATCAACTGAAACCCATGCACTCAACGAACACAATTCTGCTGTGTTTCCAAGTGTCAAAAGATACAAGATAGCCGTGGACCTATATAGTATAGCTACCCCAGCAGGCGCTTCGGCGCCTTCTCGAACAACCGAATGGTATCCTCCAGCCGCTTCTCATACTCCGCCATCTCCTGGCTGTCCTGATCGTCGCCCGAGTCATTCTCCTGCTCATCTTCATCATCTTCATCATCTTCTTCACCCAGGAGTTGCAACTCAACTCCATCTCTTCCTCCACCACGAACCGTGTTCACCGACATGATGTCTCGATATAGCCCCATCGACATTGGCAGCGTAATCCCGTCCACACCATTGCTACCCAATTTGATAAACTTGGCATCCAGCAACCGGAACTGAGCTGCCCAGACGTGCTCATCTTCAACCTCCATGGCAACCTCCCAAGATGTACCCTGGCCCAGCTTCACCGAGCCGCCCACAGGCACACTCGACAGTGCCCCAATGACCGCAGATGAGATACCTACCGAGACTTGATTTGACTGGCTCCGCGACACAATCGTGCGGGTACCTTCCAGAAGATATAGGCCGGTAAGAAGCCAGATCTTCGGGCGGCGCGCGAATTTGAAGTTGAGAAGATAGGAGCTGCGGGCTGCGGAGAGCCAAAGTTTGAGTTTCTGCTGTGCTTGTGGAGTATTGAGAACCGAAGTCATAAGGAAGGATTCCGGACTATGGCCCATATGTGAGTCTGAGCAATCCATGAATCATCTGTATGGGCAGCAAATTGACATACTCTTTCAGAATAATCCGCCTCCCCTTCCTTGCGGTGACTATACGCTCGAGCTCCTTGTTATATGCTAGACGGAGATCAATTATATCGCCACCGCTGAGACCAAAACCAGGAGAAGTGCGAGAGGAACCACGAAAGACCACATTGGCGAAGTCACTTGCATAAGTATGTTCTTGCAAAGCTTCCTCACTGCGCAAATAGTTAGCTAACACTGTAAGGTGCTTAGGTTGACGTTGACTGCCTTACCTGAGCAGATCATGAGTATAGTGACGCGCTGCCAGTGGCTGCCAATACTTTTCCAGCACCAAGGAGCCAAGGGTCAAAGCCTCTGGTTTCTCGCCCACTCCATAGAGATAGAAGGAAGAGTCGTCACTCGCTGCCATGATTTGCAAAATGGAGAAGCTTGACTCTGGAGGATAATGTCCAGTGCAGTACGGAGTGGCGTAAGATTTTCACAATCAGAGTTAATTGACAACAAGGTGTTTATGGGTCCAGTGGATATCTTAACATGTTCCTGACATGTCTTGACATGTCTTGACATGGCGGCCCGCGCGGGGCTCGATCAGTGCGGCTGAAATCCATCCCCATTCCTGCCAGATCGAGTAATTCCTGGCGAAGGCAGCCTAAGCAAACAAGCTTAGCGAGTTCATCATCATTTCCAGACACCCCCATCCCAGAGGGTTTCTGACTTCTCTTCTTGACATGCTTGACTGCTGAAAGCCTGCACGAAAACCCCACTAGCAAACGCAACGGTCATGGACTTTGAACTCTTTCTCGACCTTTGCGATCGATCACTTTTCGCCGAGGAATATCGCGGGGATTTGGATGCTGCTTGGGAGGCATTGCAGCAAGCCAAGCCAAGTGACCCCACTCCTGAGCCAGAGCCTTACGCAGAGTACCTGCGATGCTTGTCCATTTATTCCATTCTGACAGGCAGGTTACGAGACGCCCAGGAAAGCTTGAACATTCTGTACAATCTTCTCGGCCAGCTACCTCCAGAATGGGGTCTGCGCTATACCAACTACACTCTGCTATGCGATCACTATCGGCGCTATCCACCTTCGCTTCGCTTCTTCCACGAGAGAGGAAGACCTATCAATCTCAACACCCTCAGCGACATTATTGGACCAAATGCTATGATGGCCAAGTTTACAGAGAATTTCCAGCGACACTTCCCTTCGGGCAGTCCTCGTGATCAGTTTCTCTGTCAAATACTAGGCGCGGTGCAATGGTTGCCGATGCAAACAAGGAACTTGGTGTCTACATATCATCCATTATTCCCAGGTCTTCCGTCGAAGCGCTCTGATACTTTGGACTGGGAAACAGTCATTCCGGAGAGCGCCAAGTTCTTGATCAACTACCGGGGCCTGGCAGAATCTGGGGGTGCAACTACCATCGCCGAATATTTGTCGCGGGCAATAGTCGATTTACACATAGCCTGTCAACATCCAAACCAGGCAGCTGCTTTGATGGACCTATTTCGAGTGTACGAAGGCCGAGGAGACCAGGTGGGAATGGCCAACTGCAAGCTTATGGAAGGCGATGCTTTTTTGAGCCCTCCATTTGCAAGCCCAATCTCTCTCAATATGGTACTCGTAGAATCTTCATCAGCAGTCGGGGGGGATACCCTATGGGATCCCATTGATTTCGATCTCAAATTCGACTACACATCACAGGCGAGGGATTCTTACGCATCGGCGCTGAGTCTCTTTCAGAAGGGGAAGTGCAAGAGAGGTCAGGCCGCAACATTGCTTCGGCAGGCCTGCTGCTTACACAACGAACAACGTCATCTCTGCGGCGCGAATAAACAGAGCGTTGGCTTACTTGATGAGGCAGAGGAAAAGTTGCGCCAAGCACATGCTCTCTTTGCCAGAGACGAGGCCAATACTCGATTAGCTGATGCTCACCGAATTCTTCTCAGTATAACGAGAGGAGAGGTAAGCAAGACTAAAGCCATGGCACAAGAAATTGGAAAGTGGGGAGTCGAAGCCAGAAACGAACTGATGGCACATGGCCTCGGGCTTCTCATGATGCGCTTCGCTTACCATGAGTGGAATAGGTTTGGCAGATTAGATACTGCTCTTTCTGCCTGGGAGTGTGCATATGAGGTGTTTGATGCTACCAACGATGTGATTCCCAAATTTCAGACTCTGATGTCTCGGGCAGCGGCGTATCACGATATGTTCAACGACACAGCAGTAAAGATAGTGGCACCCAAGGCGCTAGCTATGATAGATTCTGTCAGTGACACATACGACAGAATCTTGAATGATGCACCCGATACGCCGTTGGGGATGGCTGACCGGAAGACCGTACTTGCGAGTAAGTTCAATACGCTTTGGACGTTTGAGACCAATATAAGCCAAATATTCCTTCGCCTAGAGGATTTCCAAGCCCTCGGCAATTGGCAGAAGAAGCTTTTCGGTTTTGTTGAGCAGGATGAAAGCTTTCAGCACTTTATCGCAACTATCGAGCAGAAAAATGGCTCTGGCCTATCACTCCCCGAATTCGGATACTCGCAGACTAGGCTAAGAGGGTTGTGGAAAGAAACAATGGCTCATCATGCAATCAGACTCAGGTATGCTTCGGCTGATATCAAGAGTCGTGAAGACCTTTTGGAAGGAAACGTTGATAGAGCTAGAAAGACTCTTCGCCGCTTTGTGAGCGATGCTGAACAGATGGAGCTGGTTTACACGCGAGATCTGTACCGCATATTGGCCTGTGCTCACATCGGAGACCGAGCCAAAGCCCGGTCTATACTGGACGGCATCAGTGATAACATGCTCTTTGGAGGAAGCCTGGAAGAATATCTCCAGGGGAGGGCGCTTAAAACCACCTTCCCCGCTATAGCTGAGAATGCTCTGATGTTTACAATCCATGGAAACGACTTAGACAGGGCATTCAGGGTAGTCAATCTGATCACAAAAATAGCTCCGGATTTCTTCGACTGGACCTTCGAGAATATCTACAATTACTCTTACCGACTCGGGAACTATGGCACAATTTTGCTCAATAATCATTGCCCCCAAAAAGCCTTTCGTCACTTACTCGAGGCACGTCAGCTCATTGAGCTCCGCCGTTCACATACTACTGATGTTGATGCCAGGATTGGAAACACAATGTCTAGGTGGACTTACGAAGTATTTTTAGATCTAGCACGCGCCTGTCTTCGTTGCCAGGAAGCCGGTGTTCCGCTGGCCGTGTTGACTCAGTATAAGCATGGACATCCTGGGAGTATCTCCTGGCTAGAACATGCATTGCTTTTCCTAGAAGAAAGCAGAGCTCGTGTTGTACTTGACTCATTACAAGTTGGATCGGGTGACGAAGGAGAGTCTGACAAAAGAATGGCTTTACTTTCGGAAGCCATATATAAGCAACGAGCCCTCAGAGTGCTGCTCGCTCTAGACCGCCCCAGCTCCGAGCAAGAGGAAGAACTCTCTCAGCTTCAGAAAGAGATTGGTGAATTGGAAGGCAGCGGGACTTCTTCATCTACTACTGGGTTTATTGCTGCAGCGAGCTCTACAGTTGAGCCCCAGTTACTTTATCAAAATATTAACGACGATGCAGTAGTGATAGAGGCCACCTTTGGGGTTCAAGGCTTTGTGGCATTTGCGATTACCAGGAACGGAATTCAGAAAGTTCACCACGGAGCTGCGCGCTCTGTTGACATGCAGATGCCTGCCATGCGGTTCATGCAGGTTCTCAAAGAAATGACCGGGTATCGAGGAGAGGAGGAAGACACCCGCAAGCGGGTTCTCAACGAGTTGTCCGCAGAGATATCCTCAGTATTGTTGACGCCGTTTGCAGGCACGATCAGACTGAAGTCGCATGTCGTCTTTTCTGTGTCTGAGCCTTTCACGGCATTTCCTTTCTCTGCCCTTCTCTTCGATGGCAAACCATTGATTGTACATGCATCGGTATCACAAATCCCCAGTCTGACAGTTTTGTACTATGTCTCTCAGCGGCAGTCGGCGTCGCGATTATCGGAACCAACAGTAACAGTGTTTGCGAAGTCACCTGTCGAACCCTCGTCCGCAGAAACAAGAGCCGGAAATGAGGATGATCTGCACATGGCAGGTATCGAGGCAGTAAACATCGCCCGGATATTCTCCACCTGGCCAATTGAAGCGTCGCGCCTCTCACGAGAGAACTTTCGCGAATATATCAGGGGTATATCGTCCGTCCTACACATCGGAACTCATGGCAAGGTGGATTTCAAAAATCCTCTTATGTCGTCGATCTCGATAGGAGAGGACTTCCGGGTTCTGGATTTATCCGAGATCCAAAGCAAGGCAGATCTCATAGTCTTCGCGGCATGTTTGAGTGGACTCGGAAAAGCAACCATTGGCAGTGAGGTTTTGGCCTTCTCTCACGTCGTGCTTGGCACCGGATGTCAAGCCTTCATGGGTACACTGTGGGAAGTCAGCGACTTTGCATCCATGCTTATGATGACAATCTTCTATCGGAACCTCAAAGAGAAGAAGCATTTTTCACTGACGGAGGCATTGAGGGATGCTCAGACTGAGCTTCTGCACTTTGACAGTTGGAAGGCGAGCCAATTTGTGGATAATTTACTGGAATCATGGACCTCGGAAACGACTAACGATGGAGGTCCTCGTCCTGATGAGTTCGTGCCGGATGCAGAGTGGCTGCTTCAGATGTCGAAGATGATATTGGATCAACTGGACTGGACGAGTCCGTTTTACTGGGCACCATTCATGCTGATGGGCAGTGGCGGACATCGCCTGTCTCATCTGGAGGCTTAGTGACAGCGTTAGTTCTACTGTTGACATCTATCGTATCGTTGCTATAAGTGTGAGTGGGTAGGTTCAATGATACTTAGGATTTTGTAAGTTTAGTTGGCAGAGTATGGCATGTCAAAGTTTCATGAAAGCAGTTCCTGGCTCGTGGAGGAAAGATGAGAGTTGCCCCGGAGAACCGCTATGAGGCAGGGGCATACGTTTTTCTACTACAGAAAAAGAGACTATCGCAATGAACATAATGATTTACCGAGGCAGCCATAGCAAGAAAGGGTAAGATGGAGCTCATTCAACTTGCAAAGCATGCATTGTCTGACCATCCGGTGCATGTTTGTTCCAGACCGGTTCAGCAACTATGGTAATAAGCCAAGGTAGTCAACCAGATAACGCTTCGCTCTGAATATCTCAGAACCGCGCTCTCCAAACGCCGCCCAGATTATTCTCAATACTGAATCCCCTTCACCAATCTTCATAAGCTTCCTCAACCTTCGCAACCCGCTGAAATGTCCTCCCATCTTGTTCATCACGAGCTTCACTCTTCATCGCCCGCAGCAGCACCAGCAGCAGGCGCCTTATCCTCCTCCTTATCCTTGCCAGCCTTGGCGCTCTTAGCAGCCTTCTTGCGTTTCTTGCTAGGAGTCGCCGGTCCGGCTTCGGCGTCAGCTCGCTTCTGCTGGCCTTTCTGGAAGCTGACTCCACTTCCGCTCTTGCGGTATTTCTCCAAGTGTCTTTCGATCGCCTTGGGAGTGGGCTTGTCATCTCCGGCTGTGGATTTGAATTGATTAGCTTCCGAGATCGTGGTATGTCGGACATTCATGTAAAAGGCCCGGAGGATCCAGTAGTGACTTACGCCATGCCTGAGCGACTTTGTCCAGGTCGAGGGTGATGGTTTGGGTTTCGAAGATGAGCTTCCAGAGCTGGGAAGCAGAAGGAGAGTCACTGTTAGTATACACCAGAACTGGGAGGGAAGGAGAGATAGGAGGGGAAAGACTGTACAATCTGTTCGTTCTCGTCGGTCCAACGCATCTTGGCGGTTGGCCGAACTGGCGATTGTCTCGGGTGGAGATGCTGTGGAGTTGTGATCAAGTACGAAGAGCGTGTTCGATAATATGGGCTACGTAGAGTAGGAGCTTGTAGCTTGTTGAGGAATGACTGGGAGGAGGAGAGATGGGATCAGTGGGTGTCTCAAGGATAAGAGGAGAGAAATTAAGTAGACAAGAGTTTAGTGTGAATGCAGCTTACTGGTTCCACCATAGCAATGCATTCACTAAGGGTTGGAAGACAAAGTGCCGGGGGCGTAACACGAGTAGAGAGGACTCAGGCTATTTGCGCTGGCCTTCACACACAGTACCTGTCTCCTTGTGAAGCTGCTGAATTGTCTCTGATGAAGATTTGCTTTAGGGTTGCATATCCAAATCTTTCGTCGAGTTGATGACCACAAAAATAAGATTCGGGCACAACGTTCATGGCATCCTTTCTCTATACTAAGCTCACTACGGCTGTCTTCCTGGTATTTGTATATAGTTTCCATGACTAGGAGGAGATTATTATGAGATTGCCACAGATGAAGAGGGGTGCAGATCTATACAGTGAATGCACGTGACATGGTAGGAAGCCTGAGTGCCTGAGGTCGCCTGGCGATTAGCAATCCGGGCTGCCAGTCTCTTCCATCCATGCATTGTTGAAACACCTTTCTTTCTGCCTACTAACTTTAGTACTCACTATCTTTCTTTAATGTGATTTGGTTTATGACCGGAGTATTTCACTTCTTCCCTTCATTTACCTCTGGGCATCCTTGTGTCCTAATTTCTAGCAGCTTTGGGCCTCTCTTTTGGTGATCGGTTCTTAAATGTGAATTTCCTGGGTGGCGGAAGTAGTAGCTTGCACCTGCAATAGGTTCCTCGCACATAAATACTTCATACCGTCTTAATATTCTCATCACATAACTTTCACTCGATCATTTGCTTTCTTCCCAGAGTTATCTCGGCTTAGCACTACAGTGCGAATACATTTCAGCTACCTGACCGTCAAGCACATTTGCCACTATGCACGAACTAGATCCGCTCATCTCTGAATACCGCCATGACAAGAGGCGTCCCCGGGCTGACGAAGCACTCCTCATGCTTCAGAAGGTAGCTTCCATAGTCAAGCCTATTATGCGCCGACGGCAATGGAAGGTCGGGTTACTGACCGAGTTGAATCCGCAAGATCGACATCTTCTTGGTCTTAATTACAACCATGGCCAAAAGATATGCTTACGACTTCGTCATGCTGGGGACGACCGTCAATTCCTACCCATGGATTCCATTGTAGATACTATGCTTCATGAGTAAGTGAGCCCCCTCTCTCACTGAATCTCCCATCGCAAAATCCAGTCACTAACTTATATTGCAGACTCTGTCATATTGTGCATGGACCACATAATCAGAAATTCCATGCCCTGTGGAACCAGCTCCGGGACGAGCACCTGGAGCTTACTATGAAGGGTTATACAGGCGAAGGCTTCCTCTCCAAGGGTCATCGCTTAGGAGGTCGTTACATGCCCGTGGAAGAAGCTCGTCGACGGGCCCGAGCCGCCGCCGAGCAAAGACGGTCTCTCTCCGCCGGGTCGGGACAGCGACTCGGCGGCGCATCCGTCGCACGTGGTACAGACATGCGCCAAGTCATTGCAGCTGCCGCACAGCGACGCAGCGAAGTGATGAAGGGCTGTGCCTCGGGCGCCGACAATAGCGCCGAGCTGGCAGAGGAGGCGTCCAGAAATGGCTTCCGAACCAAGGCAGAAGAGGACGATGCGAATGAGCGAGCGATCATGGAGGCGGTCATCGATCTCATTGAGCAGGAGGAGCGCGAGAAGTATGGACCTTCGTATATCCCTCCAAGTCAGGAGAATCCTGCCGGTCCTCGTTCTACACTATCCCCGCCTCCGACTGCAGATGGCAGCAGGCCGGGCGCATCGTCGCATCAGCAGAACCCGGAGAATCTGATATCAGACGATGGGTCGTACAACCAGCCGTGGTCGTGTCCGACCTGCACGCTCGAGAATCCTGCTGAGTTTCTTTGCTGTGATGCCTGCGCCTCGGAGCGGCCGCGGCCTTCGACGAACCGATCCGTATCTGAACCTATCATAACCAGTCCGGCCAATGCAACAGACAAGAGTGAGAGCAAGAGCAAGAGCAAGAGCAAGAAGCGGCCAATCGGCCAGTCCCCGTCGTCCCCTTCGCAAGGTACTTCCAAGAACAAGGGCCGTGTCAAAACACCCTCGTCCACGGAGCCAGAACAGGCGAATAAGCGGCGATTGGGGCGGACGTGTCGGGCTTGCGGCTCATTCATGGAGATTGAATGGGCGTTTTGCTCCAGCTGCGGAACAGCAAAGCAGGAGTCCTAATTTTGGCGATCCCTTCGGAGTTTCATCACTTAGCATAGGCGTTGGTGTCACAAATTTTGCTTCGAGAGAGATACCATAACTAATTATATTTTCCATCGAGACTCGGGAAAAGATAATTTCAACCTCTATAAATTTCCTACGAATGTCGAAAGAGAAGATCCATCTCATGACAAATGTTGCTCGTAACTGATCACCTCTTGACTGAGCTGAGTTACTGTCCTCCAAAAGCATGCGTAGCTCTCAACCTAACAACAAGGACAACCACAACCCTACTTCCCGGCTCTCGCGGTAATTGACAATGTTGGAGTTAGCACAGAATAATATTTCCATAAACCGAACCTTGAATTTGAACACATAAGTACTAAGCTATGTAGTCTGGTTGACTTGTTACCCAAATCAGTATAATAACTACTGTTATCCACCATCCAGCTGACTAACTAATGACTAAGCAAGCTTCCACCTCCCCACTCCCGGCCCAACCATTCCGCCGAGCAAACCCAGCGAATAATTTCTTCCTCCCAATAATTTTCCCATTTCCTCTTCCTTTCCAGCTTCCCCCACGCAACCACAAAAGCTGCACTGCAGCTGCAGCGTCTGACCATTTATGCTTTGGTCACAGAACACCACACAGCCAGCCCATTCTCCCACACGCACACAAAGCCTTACACAAACTAATCCAACTAATCAGGTATGCCATCCACCCCTCCACTCCCCATCCCCTACATCTCTTCGCACCCCAGAATCAAAACCAAGCAAATCTGCCCAAACCCCGAACCCCAAAACATGCCCGAGGATTGGGGGAAAGCTACAGAACAACCTAAATGATGAGAGCTTTGCAATCAAGAACCGGTATATTAGGAAGAGCCGGAAGAGGTATGACAGGAAGCCAACGTTGTTTCACTGTCGTCGATGCTTATAATGGTTCTGCTGAGTGGTTGTTTCTGCGGCTTTGCTTCTTCTCCTCGGTCATGGTTTGATGGTTCGTGTGGGTGAGCCCGGATTGGAGGGTTTCCTCGGGTTCTTGTTTTTTTTTTTTTTTTGCTTCGCTTGGATTGTTGGGGTTGTGCGCTTTTCCCTTCTGGTCTCGATTGGGTCTGGATTGTTGTACGCTTGATGCGTGCGTGATTGTTGTGTCTGTTGCAGTGCTGACCGACTTCTTAGAACAGGTTCTTTAATTGATGAAAACTGCTGGGCTGTAGAGTGCTGGGCTATATCATGATTAGTTAGATAAGGAAAAAGACAATATGTTCGCAATGCGTTTCTTTCCATGAATCTTGCTTAAATTGATCGTATCCAATTTACATGGAGTCTAAGTCGAACCTATCATAACCTTCCGGATATAGAACTTTTCATGCGTAACCAAAAAGAGAGGACCCATCAACAAGTCTGAAACGCCAAACACATGCACGTGTACAGATAGTAAAAACAAATCAACTTGAACAGAATGTGCTCAAGCAATGCTGATGAACTGCCGCTTCTTGCCCGTGCCAGTCATGCCCTCCTGTTCCTCGTAGGCGGCCTCGTCAATGTAATCCTTCGTGCTCGACTCTTGGATCTGCTGGCCAACGAACTGCAGCGCGGACATGTTGAAACCCATCTCGTCCTTCTGGCGGGCCAGCACCCGACGCAGACTGGCGCGGATGCCGTCGAGCATCGGCCGCATCATCTTGCTCGCGACAATCTGGCGATGGTGCGTCTTGAGAATGAAGAAGAGGACACGGCAGGTGAGAGGAACATTCCATTCACGACCGGCCCAGATGTTCAGGAACGTGAACAAAGCCGGGATTTTCGAGAAGGGCAGAACCAGCAGGGCATCCTGAAGAGCAGCAGCGGGGATCTTCTGGACAACGTTCAGCAAATGCCTTTCGGCAGAAACGTCTCCCAATGCCATGTACAAGGGATTGCGCTTCGGAGGAGCTGCGTTGGGCTGCTTCGCCTTGATAGCACGCCACTCGCGCACAACCTCCAGATCCTCCATTCCCAGATCCAGGGCTTCGATGATCTTCTCTCCGGCCATGAGCGTGGCAGACGTCTGCTTGCCAGCATCGACGGCTTCGGCCTTCTCTCCGTCTTCTCCATCCTCCTGCTCGAGGGAGGCCGTGAGGGAGTTGTCGTACATCTCTTCGAGCTCTTTCTCCCGCTCTTCTTCCAAGAAAAGTTGCTCGTCGGTCTGCTCCCAGGTGCGGATGCTCTTGTCATGACTGGCAGTGACAATGAACTCTCCGGAGTGACTGATAGCTAGCGCCCAGATCTCGCCGTGGTGCCCAGCCAGCTTCTGAATATGTTCAAATTTGTCACCGTCCCAGTACTTAATCAAACGATCCTTGCTAGCACTGAAGAAGTTGTGGCCATTCCCTTCTTTGTTGTTCGGAACGAAAGCAACGGCCATAACACTGTCTTCGTGTGCCAAGAATGACTTGTGACAATCACCGAAATCGAGACCCCAGACACGTGCCGTCTTATCAGCTGAGCATGTAACAATCAACTTGCTGTCCCACGAGATGTCCATGCTAAGGACCGGGAGTTTATGGCCGTAGAGGTTGAGGAACAGTTTAAGTGAATCGACGAAGAACACCTTGACGGTATTGTCCAAGAGGGCCACAGCAAGCAGCCGGGCATCAGGGGAAAAGCGAACGTTGAGAATGTCATCAGAGACCTTCAGAGTCCTTGTGTGCACCAGCTTGAGTCGCGGCGTGGTTCTCTTAGTTCCAGGAATATCTTCTTGAACAACCTGGAAGCTCCAGAATTTGGCAGACTTGTCGGCACTGCCACTGACTAGGGACTTGCCATCC